TGGTAAGTGAGACACATGTGGAAATAGTTATGTAAAATCATATTATATCTATTAAAAGAAATAAAATTTATTATAATTAGTATTTTAATTATCCAAATCTAAAATGAATTAATTTTTTTTTATTGACTCGTAATGTTAGAATCCATTATAAAAACTGTTGGCCCCGAAAAACTATTAACTCACGCACAATAGCAACAAATTTAGAAAAATCAACACAAAATTTTTTTCAGCAGAGACTGGTTGTTCGCTGGACGATCGAACTATGAATGAACACACTAATGACGAAAAATAATAGAAGCACAACTCGGCTGCACCAACCTACATCGGGGGTTCCAACCCAGGCGAAACTCATTACTTAAACTATTGAAGCACATGATCTATCTACCAATTTCTCGATGATTTCTCGTAATCAACCTATCTACCAAACTCCTCACCCTCAATGTTTAATTTTTCTCCCTCAATACTCTACTAGAAACTACCAGAATATAACATTAACAGTCTCATTTGCTCCACTATCAAATTAGTTATAACAAACTTAGATTCCCTCCGTAGATGCTTCACCAATTTATTACACGTCTCAGTTTTGGATCCACCGTCACCACAAACAGGCTTCTGGATAATAATGTAATCTTGAAGCTCAAGTCGCAGTAGCCCAATCTCCTGTTGCAACTCATTCTATATCCAGACAGTCTACAAACATCAATCAAAATCCAATAGAAAAAATAATTAGCAACTTAAACTATTCAATAATTTAAAATATTTTTAAATCATTTCTTTTTTATTGTAACCCGAATATTAATTACAAAAACGTAAATGACTTTAATTGTGCATTATGTAAATATATCAAATTATAAAATTAAAATAAGTTTTTTTTTTTTTTAAAAAAAAATCATTTTTGTAAATATAAGACACAAATAGATTATGATTTATTTAATAAAATAAAAGATGTACACTCTTTATCTTAATATTAATAATATAAGGGATCAAAATAGCGAATAATATAAAAGGTAAATATTAAAGAGTTTGAAAAAAAATTACTTAATGTAATCTTAAATCATTATATATATATATAGATAAATAAATAAGGTGCTTGTTATAGCCTTACTCTCACTCTTTATAATATGATGCATTTATTTTTTATTAAACATATTATTTTATTTTTTGAAATTCTACAACATATATTTACATTATTTTTAAACTCAACAAAAAGATAGAAAATCTTACTCGTCAATATTTCACAATCTTTATTGAACACTCGTTGAGAAGATATAATTAAAAAAATATTAAATTTATTAGATTTTAAACTCTTCAAATTAGGTTAGTTTTTGTTTGATATACTAACTCTTGTGAAGATACTAAATTTAAAAATGAAACTGAAAGTTTGATTAGTTCACATAAATTTTATGAATTTTCACTTGATATAATTATTTTGTATTAAATTTTATTTGTTATTATCTTAACATAAATTTGTGTGTATATAGATACTGCTATTAAACAATTGCAAGATGTTTTTATCATTTTTTTGAAAAATATAGAAATAAAGAATTTTGTATTATTACAGACATTACAAGAAAAAATCATTTTTGTAACAAAATATTTGTGTCTCTAACTTTAGGGACGGAATTCTGTTACAAATATATTATTTTTTTTGTAGTGAGATATGATGTTGAGAAATAAATTGCTTGTAATATGAATATTGAATGTGTATTTCTAACTAAATGTTGCTTTCTTAAAAATATATTTTTTGATGACAATAATAAAAATGAAGAAATACAATCAAAGGAAAAAAAAAAAATTAAAATGAATTATTTTTTAAGTTATAACAAATATGACAATTACCTTGTTAAATTATAGATTTGTGCAATTAAAACTATTTAATACTAACATATTTGATTTTTTTGGTTTAGTTCACAAAAATTAAAATATTTAAAATAATAAAGAGTTAAAAGAGAATGTTCATTGTCATTTCAACTATTATTTTTCTCAAAACAATATATCTGACAACAAAAAGATATTGTTGAATTAAAAGTTTTATAAATAGTTTTATTTAATATATTAAAATGGTTAATTGTTATCCAAAGTATTACAACATCTTATCATTTTTTATATTAACCGGTAATAATAGCGTCCACCAAAAAAGTTTTTCAAAATAAAATTATTGAAAACTTATTTGAAATTGTGTGTATCTCAAAAACGATTAAATAATTTGACTTTATTATGTATTGACAAAAAATTAGAAAAAATTGATAGTGATGCAATTATTGATGATTTGCAGCAAAAAATATTAGAAGAATTTTGAAAGTTATGAACTTATTTAAAATTGTCTTACCTAAATAGCTCATTTCGGTTCCAAAAAAGATGTCTTGTTGGAAATGGATACGAGAATTAAAGAATAATAGTATTTAATTAAAAGTGGATATAAAACAGAATGTAAAAGACTAAAATGTCCTTACTTTTTTAATGATTTTAAAAAATAGATTAAAATAATAATTAGGGGTAGTTTGGAAAAATATAAATAATTTTGTTATAAAGTTAGAGACCATAGTTACTAAATAAGAAAATAAGACAATTGTTTTGAGATAGACGAAAATAAAAAAAATAAGATAATTCTATTAGGACGGATGGAGGATATATAATTCTTATTCAATTATCAATTTATCTCCTATCTCTATTTAGCCTAAATATCACCCCATATTATACTTTTGACTTCACTAACTTAGAAGGTATTTTGTATTTTTTTTTTATCTTATACAAACTCACTCACTAATATAATACTCTCTCACTATAATTATTTTTGTTCTAAAGCATATTTGCACGTTTTTATACAAATTCACTCACTAATATAATACTCTCTCACTATAATTATTTTTGTTCTAAAGCATATTTGCACGTTTTTTAGGTAATTGTTTTTCTAGTTATGAATAAAAAAAAAATTATCCTTTGTTGTAAAGTGGAGATTAAAAATAATAAATGAATAAATAGTAAAAAAAGTAAAATTTGTATATAAGAAAAGAAAATAGGACAATAATTATTGGATATTCCAAATAGAAAAGTAGGATATTAGTTTGTGGATGAAGTAGATTTATTAATTTAATATAAAAAATCTTTTGTGACTAGTATATATGTAGGACGGAAAAAAAAAATTATATAAATAGTAAGAAATTGAATAGTAAGTAAATTATAATTTTTACGTCTCATATAAAATGTCCAGTTTTTAAATTTCGGTCCGTCCCGTATAATTTGTCATTTTCTTGGAAATATGATTATATACTTTAATCACATTTTAAATTTCACATATAATTTATGATTTTTAGTCTTAATTAAATTATTTATTTATCTTAATCTATAATTATTTTTATTATACAATAATTATTTTTACTAATATATTTTTTAATTACTTAAATTCTTGTATCTTACTATAACAAGAATAAATATTTCGAGCTGTTTTTGACAGCTTCAAACACAGATTATCTGCAGCAAATATAGGGTTTTCAATATGACATGCAATTATCAAGTAACCTTAAATTACCTTCACCTTTTGTCTCCAAGATAGATCTCATATATATATATATATATATATATATATAAAATACATATTAGAGCCGTCAAAATGGGTTGAGCACATCGGGTTAGCCCGCCCCGCCTTACTTTTAAGGGGGGTTGGATTGTAATTTTTTAAGCCCGTTAAAATGCGGGCCTAAATGGGCCAACCTGCATGGGCCGTGGGTTGAGAGTGGATTAGCCCGCAGTGGGGCGGGTTAACCCGCGGGTCAAGTAAATATAATAAGTAGTACTCATTCGTCTAACTAAATGTATTTTTTTTACCAATTTTTACTGTCATATTAAAAAATTATAATAAAACTAATCAAATATTAATATAAGAATATATTTTAATTTTTTATAAATTACAAATATACCATTATAAATAAATTGACGAATAAAATAAAATTTATATTATCATTAGTTTAAATAAATTATCAATATTGTCTACACGTTTATTTTTCTTCTCTAACTATGTTATTCATGACATTGTTATTTGTTTTAATTTTTCATCATTTGTTTTGTCCCTCTTCCATTTTATTATTTTATAATTTTACAAATTTATAAAATTAATTATGATTTATTTTTAAAATGAAGTATTTCTTATTATTATTTTTTTAAAATAGACTAATAAATAATATTTAGAATTGAGAATTTTAATATTTGTTATTTATTTTAAAATACTTATTATTTAAATTGTATAATAAAACTATTTTAGCAATTTTTAAATATTAATTATAAAAATATTTATAACATTAATATTCTTTTAATATTTTTAAAAAGTCCGTGGGCTAGCCCGCTTAGTTCGCCACCCGTAGGTGGGTTGAGTTGGGCTAATGAAATTTTGATCCGCCCCGCCGCAGGTTGACCCGTAAATAACCCGCTTATTTGCGAGTTAGGTGAGTTGTGGGTCAATTCGCCCCACTAACCCGTTTCGACAGTTCTAATACATATAAACAAATACGTATGTATATATTATTTATGGGGAAATAAAAATAATAATAATAATAATAAAATTGAAGTAGTAATAAGAGGTAGCAAGAAACCAGGAACACCAAGCCATCTAACAAGGGAACTCCACACATAACGACACTTGGGAATTACAGTAATTTATTTATTTATTTATTTATGTATAATCCTCGATCGAATCGAACCAGACATTGGCTCTTGCTTTCTTGCTTCCATAACTAATTATTTCTTGATTTAAAAATTTATGAACCCCAAACAAGGGTTATATTATATATATATATATATATATATACACATAGTGTATTTGTATGTATTTGTATTGTGGGGGCTTTGAAAGAGACAACTTGAGGCCACCCATATCTATATTTACTTGTGGCTGTCTACCCATTCATCTCCACGTTCTAATTCTGATATTCGATCGAACAATATATATATATATATATATAGAGTAGAGATTTCTAATTTTTTTTGTCTCTGCTGAGATTAATTCTATGTCAATCTTTGTCTCTTTTGTGCTTCTTTTGCTATGTTTTTCTTACTTGAATTATTGCTGTAATGCTCGAAGTTTTGGGGTTCTTGGAAAGGATGATGCTGCAAATGGAGAATTTCAAAACCCTATTGACAAGGTTTGTTTTATTTTCTATACTTGGAGGGTTTAGTTTGGAATTCAATTTTTTTTTTTTTTTTTTTTTGTTGTTATTTGATTCGGCTAAAGAATTGATTAGTTTGTTAGTTTGAAGATTTCAACTTACAAATGTTTTAATTTTATGTACATTTAATTCGAGGGTAAGGATATATTAGTGATGGTATTTAGGGTTTTCTATGCAGAGAAATGAGGGTTTGAATCCAACTAGGGTTTCCGAACAAAGAAACTTTTCGACGCCCAGTGATGGAAAGAAAGTAAGAAGATTCGAGGTTCATGGTGAAACCTCGGATCCTATTGCAAACCATGTTAGGACAAAAGGGGCGCATGTTTCGACTAGAAAAGAGTCGGTAGATTCAGTGGTATCATGGCAAGTTCCTCACAAGAAAAGAGGTGAACAAGAACCGGGGTTTAATTTGGACTACTTGCCGCCAAAGACACACCCACCCACCCACAATTAGGCTTCGATTCTATCAAATAATTTTGCCTCGATCATAAATGGTAATGCGATGAAACCCTAACTAGATCGAGGATGTATATGTAAGATTTTCTCTCTTCATTAATACATATTATTAACATTTAGGATAAACCCTAATTATGTATACAACGCACAATTTTATGTTGTGTTAATTAAGTAAGAGTATGTTATGCTAGATCTTTTAAAGTTATTCGATCTTTACCTAATGATCAATTTTGAATCCGATAATGTATATTGGGGCATATATATTTTGTGTATGGAACATAGATCAAAATTTAAAATTTTGCATCGTATCCCCTATTTTTCATTGTTTGATTAATCAGTATCAATCCCATTTGATCGTATACGTTGTTTGAGTAAATAATAGTACATACGCTTGCTTTGTGGAAAAAAATTATAAAATATAGGAATATTTCAATGAATTGTATAATCATATGTAAAATAATTCAATTTTTTACTTTGATGGATTATTATTTCAAATTATTAATAAAAAATAAAATAATTTTTTAACATTAATACTATCTTAGTACTATTATATGAACTTTACTTTATTTCGAGCTATAGTAATATATAGTAAATCTATGATTAGTATTGATACAATAATATTATTCATTATAATCATCCAAATAAACACACATTTTATGTCCTATAAATTATCGTGTTCGCCAATTATGAAACATAAAAGGTGGTACGTATAGGGTTTAGAGTGCATAGTTTTGTACACCATCTATTGTATCTCAAAATTTAAAAAACAAATTAAATCGATCTGAAATATTACTTGTATAATTTTTTGGGAAATGTTATTTTGATCAAGAACGAGAATAAAATATATTGAAATGATTCGTATTAATCTGTAAGATCAGTTCGAAAAAATAAAATAAAATAAAATCTTGAAGAGGTGTTTCATTCATGGAAGAATATAAGAGATTTGCACACATTATTAATTAATGTATTGTTACTAAATATTGTTGTTTCTCTATCGACATATGTATACTTATATGTATATATATATATATGTGTGTGTGTTTTTTGAAGACATAAATTGGCAACATTGAGATCATGAAATCCTACGAGGATCAAAATTCAAACAAAAACAAGACACAAGGTGCATCAATTCGATGATGTTTCCACTTCCACTATGAACAAAAACACACACACACCCACGCGTGGGTGTGTGTGTGTTTATGTAATTAACTATCAATAAATAAATTAAGCAGCCCTTTTGATGTAAGTGCATAAATCAAATATTAAAATCATATATATATATATATACGTACTTGCCCAATTTATTCAGATCCCCATAATCAAGAATATGTATAATATTCTTAAAATTTGTTTATACGTATAAATAGATTACTTAATTAATTGTTATTTATAGTACTCCCTCCGTCTCATAACAAAGTATCCATTTTTCCATTTTAATCCGTTCCATAACAAAGTATCCATTTTTTTAGTAACTGTATTATCTGTCTAATTAACATTACAAATACTCTTACAACTTACAGTATATTTACACAAATGTCGTTACCTTTATATCACACAATACTAGTGAGATTATTTTAGTAATTTCTACTTTATTCATACTAAATCTCAATATAATACTAATATTTCTAAAACTCCGTGTAAAAAGCAAATGGATATCTAATTATAAGACGGATGGGATGGAGTATATTTATAAGAATAATTCATAGTATAATTAGTAATCTTTCTTTGATATATATATATATATATTACATAGTGGTAAACTCTTAAATTAAACAAGAATCCTTGTCCTTTTGACATTCTTTATAACTTGTTTTCGAACAAAAACATCCTTTGTAATTAAGGCCAAAATTGATGATATCAAATCCCAAAAAATCACACAATGCAATTTTGACTTTGACTTTTGACTTTGACTTTGAGTTTGGATTCATTACTATATCAGACATTTTCTCGAAAACATTCAAAAATAGGGATGTAACATAGCAGGTTAGTCTTTTGAAGAGTCCTAATTAAGGTTGGTTTGACTGTAGATTTGAAAATTAAATTTAAAATTTTGTATTGAAATTTTTATTTTTTTTTTAATTTTTGTTTAGGGATGATTTATTATATTTTTAGTAAATTTATCAAATTTTAAACATAAGAGCTTATTCAAAACATTTTTACTTATATATCTCTTCTTAATAAAAAAATATTTTAATTTATATTTAAAATTTATATTTTTTTATAAAATTAATTTATATTAATTATAAATAAATAAATATAGGTCCTATTATTTGTATTATATAATTTTTTTACAACATTATATTCATATGTCTATATAATATTGATCTATAATATATTAAAAATATTTAATCATATATTTTAAATTTTTTAATAATATATCAATTCATATTTTAATAATACAAACAATATTATTCATATAAAAATAATAAAATAATATCATAATTTACTGGATTTATTTGTTTAGTCTTTTAGTTTAAGATGTTTTTTTTTCTATGAGATATGAAAATAGTATTAGTAATATAAAAAATAATATTTGGAATTGAATTTTTTATTTTATGAGATAATAGAATATAAATATTAACTATATGAAAATCGTGTTAGAAAAAAAAAAATGATTGAGTGAACAAAACATATTATTAAGGTACTAATACACACTACATAAATAATTATGCCTAAAATAAATGTATCATTTGTTTTAAAACAGATGAAATATATAAGATAAATCAATATTGATATATTATTTTAAATTTAAAATTAATTTGAGTATAATATAAAAATAAAATATAAATATTTAATTTGATATCTTTTATTAATAAATTTAATATATAATAATAAAATTTAAATTTAAACCATAACCAAACACTAAATAAAGTTATATATACAGTGGCGGAAATAAATAGGGATTTGGGGAAGTAGGTTCTGACCCAAGTTTTATAAAAAATTTTAATGTAAAAATACCTTTTTTTCGTTGAAAGTAATTTTTTTTATAATTTTCATATTTGTTTGTCTTCTGTAATTTGTTTTATTTTTTTATAAAAAAAACAATTATACAGATTTTTTATTTAAAATTTTATATTTTATAATATACATATTTTAATATATTAATTAATTATCTTAATTTTAATTTATAATTATTTGTATTATATAATATTATTGTTACAAATATATATTTTAATCAATTACTAATTATACTTTACCTAAATTTTTGCACCTACAAAGAATTGGACAATTAAAAATCGACGGAGAAAATATATTTTCATGTATGATTATAGTCATTTGACTTTATTATTTTGCCATGTTCGTTTTTTGTTTTTTGTTTTTCTTCTTTTTCTTTTTTTTTTTTTTATGAATTGGGGGGAATTTGAATGATTAGGGGAAGTTGGAAGCGGGGAAAATTGAATTATTTGATAGGTTCTTATTTTTCTGAGCTTTTTAATTATAATAAAAAATATGTATAATAAAGATTTAAAAATTTTGAAATTATTTAAAATTTTGAATTTTTCTAAGGCCTTTTATTAAAATATAATATATATATAAATATTCGGAAATTTTGAAATTATATAATTAATTGAATATAAATCTATATATATTTTTAATGCAGTTTCAAAAATTTTGGAACAATTATATTAATTAAATATATAATAAAACATATACTAAAGTTTCAGAAATTTTGAAATCAATTAATAGTTTCATAAACTTTCAAACTTTTTTTTTTTATTGAAAAAATATTAGATAAAAATATAAATAATACACTTTTTCCATCCCAACTCAAACTACTTTTTGTATGTCCTATTCTAAAATAATTTTTTTTTTCTATTTTAGAAAAAATAATTATATACTAATACCAAAATACCCTTTAATTTTTATTTAAATTACAAATATACTATTACACGTACAGTTACTTTATAAGAGCAAATATATCAAAATCTTTTACACACTTCTACGAATCAATAAAATACTATTGTTTCTTTATCTAGTACAAAACTCCAAAGAGCCATTTTCGTTTGGGATGGAGGTAGTATAAGTTTCAAAATTTTCGAAACCAATTAACAGTTTCGAAAACTTTTCAACCTTTTTATTTAAAAATATATATAATAAATCTTAGGAAATTACGAAGCTATTTAATTAATTAGATATAAATAATATATAATAAAACTTAAAAAATTTTGAGACAAATTTATTAATAAAATATAAATAATATATATAGTAAAGCATATAAATTTTGAGACTAATTAATAGTTCCGAGAACTTTCAAGCCTTTTTCTTTATAATATATATATATATATATATATATATATAAAGTTTTGGGAACTTTCCAGACTATTTACAATGAATTCGAAAAATTTTGAAACTTAAGGACTGTTTGGTTCATGAATTTGATAGAATTACATGAGATTTGAATTTTAAAATTTCAATGAATCAATGCTTGGTTAAAAATAGATACTGAAATTTAAAATAGATGAGATTTTAAAATTTTGCAGATAAAATTTTTTTTACCAGAATACCCATGTTACTTTAAATTCTCATTCTACTTGCATTTCATTTCATATTTTATCCTCCTATCAAACGAAAAAAATCATTTTTTTTAATATTATATGTATATATATATATATTTATATATTTAAATATACACTACAAATATATATATATATTTATTTGTAATCATTAATTTTTATATTTAAATTTATTTGACTGGTGTGTGTTTTGTTTAATAGTATAAGACTTATTGTAGACATTTTAATTGGATGATGACTGTGGGATTAATTTAAATATTTTTCTTATGCATTATGATTCTAATTTTGTATATATATAGTATATTTATATCTATATAATTAAATTTATAAATGTGTTGTTCTATAGCATTTTAGTTGTCGGCGGCAATATGTATGCACGTTAATTTGTGTTTTTGGATCGTTTTCGTGTCAGTTGATGAGTTGTAGGTATAACAAAAAATTTGCTAAATATTTGAATCTGATTGAACCCAATTTTTAATCTGAAATCCTACGTCTGATTACTTGATAATCTGAGCGAATCCAAAGAACCTGACACCAAACAGGCTAGAAAATTGAAATGAATAAAACAAACTCGAAAATTTGAAAAAATTTAAAATTTACTAAAATACCCGATGCGAAACATATTCGAAAAAAACTTGGATTTTGTTTTTTTTATGATTAGTATATTATTATTTTTTTATTAAATTTTTTATATTATTTTTTTTTGCAAGAAATAAATAAAAATAATTTTAATTATGAAATCAGTTAAAATCATGTAGAGTTTGAATTTTCGGTTATTTGGTTTTTATATTTTGAGTTATCGGATCAATTAGAAATCCAACTTGATCTGACTTTATTATTATTTTTTTTTCATTTCGAGTTCAAATTGACCTATTTTTTAAAAAATTCAAAATACTTAAACCCAAAAATTTCCAGATCCAATGGAATCAATTTTTTGGATTGGAGTCAATATTGACATCCCTGTCAATATGTTATCGGAAATTGACAACCATGTCATTAATGTAGAGACTTATTAGAGAAAAATTAAAAAATATTATTGTATTGAACATCAAAACAAGAGTCAATTTCATGACATTTGATTTCATAATATCAAATAATAACAATCTAATATAATGAATATGATGAAATAATAACAATATAATCCAAATAATAGAAATCTAAATCTAAACTACAAACTAAATCATTGAAATATCTCAAACATAGTTCAAAATGAAATGCAAACCCCAAATATAATGTGTGTGTATTTGTTACAATTTTGTTTTTACACTACAAAGATAATGGCTAAATTAATTTAAATGGATGAGTTTTTAAGGTCTCTTTCTTAGCTTCTTTGTGGCATTAAAGATCAAAGAATCAAACTTTATTTACAGGTTTTCACATGGTAAATATATGGGTGTGGATCAAGTGCTGCCTCAATCATATTAGCATATGATATTTATAACACAATATATGTTATACTAAACACTGAATCCATCGCCTATATATATATATATATATGTATATGATAGAGAGCTACTTCAATTGGAATCTTCACATCCAAATTTATCTTCTGAAATAAATTGGGTTGTGCTCATGCAATTGCTTAATTGGTTATATATATATATATATATATATGATTAATACATAGAATCCAGCCAGATCATTACAGTTACCAACATATATATATATATACTTACTGAATATGATCTGATCTGACCTTTAAGAACAAGCAAAGCCTTTGGGGAGTTTCTTTCCACATGAGTTGATGACCAAACTCACAGCAACTTGTATGTCATACTTGACAACTCCCAAGACATTACCCTTAATTGCTGTGCAAAGGCACAATGCAGCTTCCAGGTCAGCCAGGCCCTCTACAAGTGCACAACATTTAGCACTTGGGGGTACCCCAACCACCTCATGGACCAACCCTAGCCAGTCACCACAAACCCCAAATTTCAGGGTGTCTCTTGGGCACCTAACCGCCTCGGTTGGAGCTTTGCGCGGCACTGATGGAGGAGCCGTGCAGGTTGGAGGGCACGGCGCGCATCCGGAAGAAACAAAAGTGAAGAAGATGACATTAAGTATGAAGAAAATAGGGATCAATGCACTTGCTGCACCTGCCATTTTCTTTCTAAGCTGAGGCTGGGGCTGGCTTTTCCGGGGTATGTATGCTGTTTATTTGTTTTTAATACTAGTGAAACATCCCTGGATTAAGGGTAGACAATATTTGGAAACATCAGAATTTGAATTGATGACCTCATGATTAATAATATGAAAATCTGCAGCCGTAACCTCATGATTAATAATATGAAAATGCAGCCGCTAGATCAAGTAGTGAAACATATCTGGCTCAAGGGTAGACAATATTTGGAAGCGTCAGAATTTGAACTGATGATCTCATGATTAATAATATGAAAATCTGCAGCCGCTAAACCAAGTAGTGAAACATCTCTTGCTTAAGGGTAGACAATATTTGGAAGCATCAAATTTGAACTTATGACCTCATGATTAATAATACTAAAATCTGCAGTCGCTAGATCAAATAGTGAAAAATTCCTCACTTAAAGGCGAACAGTATTTAGAAATGTTAAAATTTGAACCGATGACCTTATGATTACAAAATCATTCATTTCCCCACACCACCGGGTAATCCGTTTCGGATATATAAGTTTTGTAGTTATACTTATGTGGAGAATGAATGATGATGATTCTTGGCCATGTATGGATGATGGGTTTGGGGTTGTGATTGGATGATATTGAATTGAATAGGGATTGGTCTTTTGTGCTGTGTCACATCATGGATGTATGTATGGCCCATATCCCATGTGCTTGCTTTTCTTGTTTTGGCTTTCTTGTCATAGGATAGGGTATGGTTTCTTTAGCAATATTTTCTCAAATTTTACTATTTTGACTCTGCGTAAAAGAATATATTTTTTTTTTTATAAAATATTTTATCAAACATTATTTTTATACTAAACTCAAACTAAATTTTTTTCAAAAGAAACACACCTTATAATGGTCTTAGTGCTTTTAGGACTATATATAGCATATCCATTAGGCATTAGGCATAGGTTGATTTTTCATGATCATATTTATAAGCATCATGACAACCCATTATTGTTAAATAGTGTTATCGATTATTTATTTATTTTTAGGATAAAATGCATTTAAATTGAAGTAGAATCATGTGAAGATGGAAGAAAATTAGCATTTGCTATAGCATAATTGTTCGAGGTGAGGGGTCTATGGTATCATCCTTTCTAATGCTTAATTTATAGTATAATTAAAAAGTTGTGGTTGCTGATGAGACAAGGGGTTTGTCCTTTGCCAAAAGTTTTTGTTTTTGTAACTTTAGAGCAATTACAGTGACTTTAATAGAATAGTGCTTTTAAATTATTATATGTTAAAACTTTGTTTTAATTTGGATGGATCTTGAGGGAATGATAAGTTAAAACTTGACAATGGTATAACACTTAAAAATAGGAAAGAAAAAATTTGACCTCCAAAATTCACCAATTGTGTAATGAATTTTTCGAGTGAGAGAATAAAACCTTTCAAAATATCTAAGTGTGTCTTTCTTTTGATGGGTTTGAAAAAAATTTGATTTAAATTTGGTATTAACATAATGTATAATGTGATGTTTTGTGAGAGGAAAATATATACTACATCCATCCGACTCTAAGGGAGTGAGGGTCTCATTTACTTTTTACGTGTTGATCTTTGAATATTAATTATTATATGAAAACATAATTCAAATTAAGAGAAAATGACAAAAATACTTCTATTAGTTTCTTATAATACTATTACAATGACATTTGTGCAAAAAATTATACAAATATAAGGATATTTTTTATGCTAAGTACAACGACACAAAAAGTAAATGAAACCTTTATAGCCGGACGGAGTAGGGATGTCAAATGGGGCGGGTTAGCCCCGGACCCGGTCTTAATGAGGCAGGTTCGGGTCTAAAAAGTTTGGTTCGGGGTGGGTTGTGGATTTTGAGTTTTAGACTCGGCCAGGTTCGGGGCGGGTTACGAGTTTTACTATAAACCTGCCCCACCCCGGACCCAGACCTGGACTCGGATATTTTAATATATATTACTCCCTTCGTCCCAAAAGAAGTGTCTTATTGAGAGTTGGCATGAGAATTAATGAATAATAGTATTTAATTGAAAGTGGGTATAAAGTAGAATGTAAATGACTAAAATGCTCTTACTTTTTGAAGGATTTTAAAGAATATATTAGAGTAATAATTATGGGTAATATGGAAAAGTAGGAATAATTTTGTTATAAAGTGGGGACCACGGCTACTAAATAAGGAAACAAGAGAATTGTTTTGGGACGGACGAAAATGGAAAAACAAGACAAATCTTTTGGGACGGAGGGAGTATAATTTATTTATACTTTTATACCGTATAAATTATATTATTTTTTTATTTAAAAAATTTTAAATATAAAATAGAATTTTAATTTTAAATCAAATTTATTTTCACTTTTGTTTCTCCTACAATTCTCTTTATAATTGCGATTACTGTTGTCCGCCATCACTACGAACTATCATCAATATTTGATTGTTATTATTTTTAGAACTATAATTTTTTAGTACTTTAACGCATATTTTTTTTAGTATTAAATTATTTTTTTAAAAAAAATTATTTTATTTTTTATTTAAAAAAAAAAAAACGGGTTTGTCAGATTGGCTCCGAACCCAGAAGGTTTGGGGCGGGACAGGTCCTAGGGCCGGATTGAAGTGGAGTGGAGCGGGTCTTGGTCCTAATATTTTTTACCAGGGCGGGTCCTGGAACCTGTAAAACCCGTCTCGAACCCGCCCCGTTGACATCCTTATGACGGAGCTAAGTATTTTTTCTAGAAAACACATAATCTAAATAATAAAAACTTAATAATTTTTTTTTTGCAAAAGAAACATACCCTAGAATAACCTCTACAAATAGACCATTGTTGTTGATCTCAGCTCCTTTATGCACTAATTATTCCTCCAATAAATAAACTTTTTAATTATCTGAAAATTCATTTGAAAAGAGAGGGAGGGAGGATGACAATTGAATTTGAATTGTAATGGAAGGTGTAGATATAATTGGTTTGTGTGAAAATATTTTACGAAACTAAGAAAATTGCATTGTTATTGATCATTAAAATAAAAGTTTATATATCAAAACAATATAAAAATAAATACTGTAAAATACAAGCTTGATGGACTCGTATCAAAACAATGTAAAAATAAACTCAAATCATAAAAAACTATCAAATCTAAATATATAAAAATAATGTAAAGATTAGATACTTTTTTTTTTCTTTTTTGTCATAAAAATATTACTGTCTATGTTCCTTTTGAAAAGGGGGCCACTGATATTTTATAGTAAATTAAAAAATAATAATATTTTAATAGATTTTTAACAGACAAAAATGGTAAAAATAATATTTTGAATCGGACGGGGGAGTATTACTTACCTTTTTATAAAAAAAAAAATACCAATTTCTAAAATTTAAATGAGCATAAATATCAATGACGGAGAGAGTTTTATTTAATAGTTTAAACGAATTTTCGATAAAAAATATATTATTTTCTATATAATATTATATCAAAATAAGATTTAAATTTAAATTCAAATAAAAAAATTAATCTCAAATCAAACCAAACCAAACCAAACCAAAGAAACTCATGATTTATTGAATTTTGGTTGGCTTTTAACATAATTGTGAGGCTCAAAAATTAATCCAGTGCCCAACACAGAACAACCCAAATGTATAAACCACTTAGGGTGGCCGTTTGGGCCGGTTAGTTCGGATCCGACCCATTCTAATCCGATTAGGGTTAATTGAGTTGTTTTTTAAAATATATTTCATCCTTCTCATATCTATATATTAATTTGTTTTTTTCACGGAATTTTAAAAATATTAGTAGTATATAAACAATGTGCTATATATATTATATATTAATATTTGCTTTTTTTTTTTTACAGATATTTGTTGATTTGATCAAATTATTATTGTGCTGAAATCAAAATATATTTTTACTAAAATTAAGATATATTTTGCTATATATAATTATATAATGTGTTATTCAAATATACAGTATATTATACTCCTTCCGTCCACAAACTAATGTCCTATTTTCCTATTTGGAATGTCCAATAACTATTGTCCTATTTCCTTTTCTAAACACAAATTTTACATTTTTACCCTTCAATCATTTATTACTTTTCATCTCTATCATACAATTAAGAACAAATTTGTCAATTTATAACAAAAAGATAATCACCTAAAAAATCGTATAAATATACTTTAGGACAATAGAAATTGGACGGATGAAGTATATTACATCAATATTTATTATTTGTTTAATAAATACAGCTAATTGAGCATCAGCACGGTAACCGAAGAGAATAGTAATAATCTTGAAATATAAAATAAAAAATAAAATGAAAAAAAAAAAAAAAGATTATTGAACAATAGGGATATTGTATAATTGTAATTGTATGATAGAAATTTGTTTACATTACTATATGTAATTTTATTTAGTTACTAATTTTGAGTTATCATTTGTTAAAAAGTAAATGTTAAACTTTATTTAGGACTTGTAATTCTACATGTATCAAAAGTGTGTATTTTATATTAAAATTAATAAAACTATCTCTAAAACAAATAATAAGAAAAAATAAATAAAAATTAGAGTTAAAGTAGTATATATGTTTTTTTTTGTATTGCAATTTTATTTAGTAATTAGGATTTACCCCTCCCCTTTCAATTTATGATTAATATTATGTATTTTATCTGGGTTTGGATTTTGAGTTGGGATTTGAATAGTAAAAAATTTGAATTTGAATAGTTGTATGACTTGATATAAATAGGTGTTGATGTAATGTTTTGAATGTAAAATTGATTTTTAGTATAATATAAAAAATAAAAAATAGGTATTTAATTTGATATTTTGGGAGAAAAAAAATGACATGAATAATGAAAATCTTCACAAATCCTTCAAACAAACGCCCCCCAATAAATGAATCGCCGAAAAAAAATTCTATATTTATTTTTGTACACACATAAAAAGTTTAATGACTGATTAAATAACAAAACGATAGTTTCCTTCATAATTCGAAATAAATTAAAACTAAAAGTAAATAATAAAAAATAAAATAAAACTGACAGGCGTAACAACTTTGCCCCCAAAACCTCAAATTGGTTTGTCGCCGTATCAATTCCATATTGACCGATAATTATTTTGTCTCACATAATTTGTTTTTATTTTTTATTT